TTTCAATTAAATTACTTGAATTTCTAAAAAAGAATTGATTTGCATATATATTAATGATTCTATATTCAATATAAGTTTGAAAAATATAGTAATGCTAATAGCTATGTTATATGATAGTAAAATTCTACACAATATTTTCATAAGCCAGATTACATACATAACTTTCAGGTATAATTCCAAGAATTCTTAGTTGGTTTCATCTTTTCAAAACATTTTCATAAATAGACATTTTAAAAATTTCTAAATTGAACAGAAAAGAAACCACAAAATTTCTTCATACTATTCGATACACATTGAAAATATTTTCAATGCATTTAAATATTTCATTCTAGTATAATCCGATAAAATATATTTGTGGTTGAATCTATACTTTTAACAAGATTAATAATCTTTGTATATATCTACATGGTAATAATAAAATTATAGTTAGAGTAGAATTTTTTTTAGGCAAAAAACTTTATAACTCTTCAATAGATGATGTAAAACATAAATGCCCATATGCATTACAAATAGCATATAACTAGGATACATTCTTAGTTATGAATATAATAATAAAGACACATATATAACGTTCATAATCAATTTAATATTTTTGTTATAAAAAACAAATCATCTTCTTTATTTTAAAATTATAATGTAAAACTCTTTCTTCTTCTTGCTTCTTTTAAAAGCCACAACAAAGCGTTTTATAAAAAGAAAAACTTTTAACAAAATCTATTACGTTTTTTCCCCGAACCAATAATAAAATAATAAAAAAGAAGAAAAAATAACAAAATATTTTGCTGAACCCTAAAACTAAAAGTATTGAAAGAAAGAGGACGGACGTCACACATAAGAAGAATAGAAAGCAAAAAAAAATAAATCTTGGAAAAAGAAAGTTTTTCATTTTTTTTTTGTTATTTTCTTCTTTTTTTTTCTAATAATTTCTCATAACTCATATCTTAATATTTTTCTTGTTTTATTTATTGTATTTGTATCTTCTCTCTTGTGTTTTTTTTTCTCTTTCATATTTAACTTTTTGTTTGATTTATTAGAAGCAAACCAAGTCCAAAAACCCATCAAAGTTTACCGTCTTCAAAATAAGGAAATTTATTATTGATTTAATATTTTCCTGAATATTTTCCTTACTTTTATATATTTTTATTTTTGTTTTCATATATTTTATTGATCTGCAATATCTCAATTTTTGTGCCTCTAAACAAAGCATATGAATTCTGAAGCATTCTATCAAAAATTGGTTGTTTACAAAAGTTATATCGTTTTTTTTTTTTTTTTGTTTTGTTAATTCCAAGAAAACAGGATATTTTAATTCTCATTCTGAAGTTTTTTTTTTTTGTGCTTTTATACATTTTCCATTCTCAAATACACACTCTAGATACACAATATTCATATTATTTGGTTATGACAGATGGTAGGAATATCTAAAAAGAAACAAAAAGAAAAAACAATAAGAGCTATAAATAACGGGATGAGAGCAAACATAACAATTTTACCAACATAAAATAAAAAATATTGAGATAAAAATGAAAAATTTACAATTTAATGTAAAATAAAGAAAAAGATATTTTAAGAAAAAAAAAAATGGAAGAGGAAAAAAAATTAAAACAGTGATGGGAAATTAAATTGAGTTGATCTCTTTAATATTTTTAAATAACGTGTTTTTCTGCTGTTATGAATCTATTTAAAGGTTTCTCAAAAATTTAATATCAAGTTCATATAATTATGGCATATTTAATGCTCTTATATTAACGGCTCAAATTTTCATACAATTGAGAATAACGCCAAAGCTGTAATTACGATATTATAATACATGTTTACACAAAATTTGCAATGTTTGTAAAATGTTAGAAAATTTTATGAAATAAAAGAAAATTTTTTATAAAAAACGATTAACGACCAAAATTCAGCAACCATTTATACATATTTTTAAAAAAAAGAAAAATTTTCCTTAATTATTTAGAGAAATTTATAAAGTTAATACAGTTAACACTAATGAGAAATTAAAGCTTAAGATTCGGGAGAGAGAGAGAGAGAGGAATATTTAAAGTGATCCCCTCACATATTAACTATCCTATACAACCCTGATATTTCTACTTACATAATAATATCAAGCGCATTTTTAAAATCTCTTAAATTGTCACTATTATAAAGTCCTATACAGTAATGAGTGTCAATATACCACTTTCTAGACTAAATGAACATACAAAAATACGAGGAATAAATAGTACTTTTAAACATTTTGTATATACTTGAATATTTCAAAACTGAAAAATATTGAATTTTCAAATTTTGCGCACACCTTTGCAGAATTCCAAAATGTTCGTTTAAAAACAACCATAATTATGATTTAATCGTAATTATTAAATTATTAAATCGTAATTATTTATTAACTGATAACTCTATTTCAATTTTGTACAAATTGTTATAGTTTGTTTTAGTGCTCTTCAAATTAAATTATAATTTTTCTTTTCGATTTGAAATTCTTACACGCACATTAATTATCATTTGGTATCAGCATTTTTCATACTTAATTTATTTTTGTGCCATCTCTATATATTTGACCTACATTTTTCAATTTTATTCTCTACTTATCTGAATAATTGACAAAATGATATCAATAGGGTAGGGCTACAAAACTAAAATTACATTTTCTTCAATTATTTTCCAATTTCTCATATAGACTTAAAAGACCTTTTTTTCAATTAAATTTGGTTGATTTGTTTTAATCAAATAAAGTTCATTTGAAATTTTTTTGAAATTTGAGTCGTGTTAGATCAATATTCCTATTGCTTGCATATGTACATATGTACATATGTATGTATGTAAATAATTCTCACGATATATTTCAAGTTCAGACTAAACATTTAATTCAGAGTGGTTTTTGTTTTAAGTACAAGTATTTCATAAATAACTTAGAGATTTTAGAGAAAACACAAATTGACACATAACACAAATTTGGGAAGCTGCTATTTAATTACAGTTTTAAGGATTTTTTTTTAATTAATTTCTTTTCAAAAGCATGTGTATATTCAAATATATGTGTAATTTATGATTTTATTCGAGTAAATTAAATGAAATGTTCAAAGAGAATGGGTCGATATAAATTCTTAAGTTCATTATTATTTTATTCCATGAATATTTCATAATATTTTACAGGAATATTTAAGAAAAATCATCACCATCATTTGTTATACCAAAACTACATGTTAAATATATCAAAATACAAATACACGTTTGTTTGCAAAAATTCTTCTAAAATGAATGTATACATATTTGGTATCGTATATAGAATGTATGATGAGCTTTTCTTAAAATAAAAGGACATTTGTTATTTAACAGAGTAGAAATATAAAATTGGACAAGAACAACAAAATAAGAAAGAAACTAAACAAAAAAAAAGGACATCTGATGATGAATGGAAATTGAATTGCACCATTTTTCAATATCAATTTACCAAATAATGTGTTCCAAATAAATTGATTTTTTTCTTTATTTTTCTCTCCTTTTTTCAATTCATGGTAAATTTTTATTCTTTGAAAAATTTTCCAGAATAGTTAGAGCAATTTTAAATTTTATGAATGCATAGAATTTTAAATAAGATATCAAATAAGTCCTACAAATATATTATAAAAATAAAATACATAAGGAGAGAACAAAAAAAATTGTATATGGAATAAAAGAAATTTAAAATTTTGCGTTTGTCACAAAATATTCAAGGTTGTAAAAAGATGCTTTTGCGGCTCCCATTATGTTTATATGTATATATACATATTATTTTATATTCAAATTTTGTATTGAAAAATTAAATAAGTTTCAATTAATAGAAATTTCGTAGGATCTTTTCTATAACAGTTGCTATGTTAAATTGGCATATTCAATTTCACTAAATAATAGAATTTTAAAATTGTAGTGCAATTATAATTCGTATTTAAATTCAATGCCGAAACAAATAGGTGTATGTACCTACATACATGATAATTTAAGTAGGTACATACATCTATTTAATACATAAATAAAAATAACGTTCGTTTATATGAATGTTTCATTAATTTGTCTAGAAGTGGAAGAAACATAAAATATTCAATCTGCAAACAATAATATTACAGAAATATGGTATAAGTTGCGACTCGACTAATAATTTATTGTGAATAATCTTGAATAACACGATGGAATTAATACGATGACTTCCTCTTTGTGATGAGAATCAATAATAGATCTGGATATCAATTAGTTTCCATTCCTCCATTTACCTATTTACCGATTTAATTATTTCCCCCATTTACCTATTTCTAAAAATACTTTAAATTAACTTTTGCTTTATTTAAACGACTGCATAAATCGTTCATCCTAAATATATGCAATCCTAGAAATAGTTTCGTATATCAATGAAAATAATTTTCAAAGTGTGTTAGGTATACATAAATTGTTTTTAAAAGCAGTATTTTCAATTGCTGAAGGGAAAAGTGCTACAACACAAACCATTGGTTCGATCCAACTTTATTAAATGCATCTTTTATTTTTGTTTTATTCTTCCGAACCAGTTTTCTTCTTTTTGTCTGAATTGCACTTTCCTTTATTCTTATAATACTCTTCTATCCATGTACATTTAAATCCACACATGTATGTACATATGTACAAAATATATATCATTTGGGTCCTTCTCAATTTTTATCATATATAAAATTGAAAGTAAGGATCATCATTATATATGTATGTGTATAATGAAAATGTGCTCATCCATCATCTTATTATTGTAAAAACAAAAAAAGGGAAAATGTATACCATTAGTTTGATGTACCATTGATATTTTTATACTTATATTTTCTGGATGAAGATATTATTATGAATACATGATGCATTATAGAGAAATACAAAATAAAATAATAAAATATTATGGAAAAGAAAAATTTATTGTTCGATATATGTGATGATTATCATTATCATTTTCAATAATATTTTATTTTCTCATGCATACTGTTTTTTTTTTCTATATATTCTAGATGCTCCAGTTTGTAGTACAAATCAGGTAACAATAGTAGGTGCATCACTTGAAGAATCTGTTCCAATACCATGTCGAGTTAATTCTGATCCACCGGAAATTGAATTTGAATGGACATTTTCTAGTAGTGGAGAACATTTTGAGGTACCATCTGGACATTATGCAACAATACAAGAAGCAACAACGAATAATAATGCTGGTGGAGGTGCTAATGGTGGTAGCAGTGGAATTGGTGTCAACAATAATAATGCATTTAGTAGTAGTAGTTCTAATGCAAATAATGGTGGAACTTCTCATCGTACTATAATTGAATCGAATGAAACACATATTGAAACATATGGTCAGTTGAAATTTAAAAATAAAAGAATTGTTTTTTTTTTTTTGTTTTGCAGATACAAATATTAAACTTCTGATGCAACACAAAACCAAATCTAACTTTGTTTTCGTACATATTTCATTAAATATATTTTAGTGTCATACTAAAGTTTCCATATACCATTCCAAAACTGTATGTATCAAGAATTTAAAACAATCGAGATTTTTTTAAGTATTGCAGATTGCCAATGATTTCGGGTCGATGAACAATATGCAATTATCACGCTGAATGCAAGATTAGTCATAAAATTGAACCCTTTGAACTCTTCAATGTTCATATATTGTTACATGTCATCAAATTAATTTCGCTGTGCATAAAAAGAAATTTTTTTTGGAAGACTTGTAATGAAATTTTTATATTTACTCCTTTTTGAATTTTCAATGGCGCCACAAAATAGGCGGTCATTGCAAATTCTTACTTTGCATCTATGTTACTTTGTTAAGCTCTGTAACTTAATATTTACCCTTGTCAAGCTTCAGTTTTTAGTTCACGCTCTATATATTTTTACATATTGTTAAATTACATATACATAATTTAATTTTTGGCGAAAAAAGGGCGAAATCCTTTTTTAGTTCACAACAACCTTTACTTACTTGAACAATAAGAATATTATTTTCTATGTATTGAACAAACATTTAACACACAATTGTATACACACAATTTATTTTATTCTTAGAGTCTTGCTAACAAAAATAAAAAAAAAGAAAAAATTTTAAATAAAATTAGCAATTTTTCCACTTTTTCCAAATCAAATTGATTGCAAAATTATTCACCCTTATTTTTAAGTCATTTAACTTCAATTACATAAATATTAAATCTTTTTGAAATGCAATTTTAATTTAATGAAAAAAAGGGTGCATAAATTAAGGTATCATCTGTTTAAATCAATTATGAAAAATTCTTGAAACATTTATTTCGAGAATTATAGCCTCCATATTCCTTAATATGAAATGCGTAGTCGAATTATGTAATCATAAACAATAGATAAACTAAAAAAAACGTATTGCACGCGTTAAGGATGTTTTAAGTAATAATGTTAATATCAAAAAAATTTTATATTGTATAGATTTGATTTAATTCTTATTATTTTTGTAAGTTGCAATAATATTAAAAATACTTTTCGTTTCAGTAGAAACCATCAGTGAATTGATTTACACACCGAAAAGCGAACGAGATTATGGCACTCTAGCATGTTATGCTAAAAATACAATTGGAAGGCAAACAGATCCATGTTTATTTCAAGTGGTGCCAGCAGGTAATTTATGATTATTTTTAAAAAAAAAAAATAGTTGACAGATTTAAGCCAAATTTTCTCAAAACTTTCTTAAAATTACATGAAATAACGAAAGAGCAGCATTATTTAAAAATTATGCAAAAACTTTAACATATTTTTAAGGAAATTTCGTTGGAAAACGAATTCGGATTGAAATAGTTTTGTTTAATTTTCGAGTATTCTCATTTTTTGAGTATGTTTTCAAAAGCTATCTAGATTATAATATTTCTAATTTGAAAAAAAATTATTGAAGTTTTTTTAAATTTTTTTTCTTATTTTTAAATTTAAAATTTTTCACATCACATTTCTGTCATTCTTAAGTTATTTGATTTTAAAATTCTCCCTAAGTTTTCGTGATTAATAAATAAATTAATATGATTCATTAATTTGCAATTGAAATAAACAGACTTAATTGATCATCTAATTAACGAATCAATTGCAAAATATCCGAAAAAATATGAATTTTTCACACTTTTCATATAATAAATATTCTATTTGATATTCTTTTAAAAATCTATTTTCATCTTGTTTAAATTAATTACAAAATTGATAATACCTTAACATTATTATTTTCTTTTTAATTTTCAATATAGCAAAACCAGCAGCATTAAAGAATTGTACCTTAAGACCATATGTGGTAACATCGGCTTCATTAAATTCTTCAAATCAAACCACAATACATCCTAATCATATGGCTTTAAGACAACATCATAATAATCCACAACAACAGCAGCAGCAGCAGAATCCTAAACAACATTATAACCAACAGCAACATCAGCAGCAATTTCATAAACATAATAATAAAAAAACTGATTCATCAGATTTATCATTAGATAAACCTATTTATCATGGTAAACAAAATCAAGTTCAACTTGAATATTTACGTGATATGACCCACCAAAAAAAATTAGAAATCAATTCAAAATCAACTATAAATCCCGAAAATAATTTTTTTCAAAGAAATTCTAAATTAAATCATCCACAAGATATTAACAATAATAATAATAATAATATCGACCATGATGATGATTCACATATTTATGATTCAATTGATTCAGAGGATATTATTGATGATGATGAAAATATTGAACGTCGAAAACGTGATATAAATTTACGAAAAAATTTACAAAAATCAAAATCATCATCTGAACAAATTGAAGGATCATCTGATTCAATGGAAATAATATTAAAAAATAATTTAACAATGAGAATTCATAATCATCATCAAAGAAATGACAATGATACAAAAATTGAGAAATTCAATTTAAAAGACATTAACAGCAATAGTAATAAATCTATAAATTTAAAAAATATTTCTAAAGCATTGAAAAGAACTCAAAATTTAGGAAAGGTAAGTAAATATGAGTTGGTGTTTCGGTTCTTTATTAAACATATTTTATTTTTAATAAAAATTTTTTCGAAATTTTCTTTTTTATATTGTTTGGTTAGAGTTTTTTCCAAAGGTTAAATAAAATCTTTTCTATTTACAATTAGAACTTACATTTCGCTCTATTCAAAATGGTTGTTCCTAGAATTTTAGGGGCTTGCATATAATATTTATAAAAGCATTGGAAGCTTTTAAGCAAATAAGGATTATGTGAAAATTATGTTGGGAAAAGCAATTTTTATTTCTTTATTATTTTCCATGCTTTCTTTTTTACTTTCTGAAATTTAATTCGTTGCATCTTTGGAAAATCTTAACTTAAATACTAACTAAATATACATAAAACCCAATAATCTTACAGTGAAAACCAAAACTTTCATTACAAGCACATAACTGCAAAAAGAAAATGAGAGAATCGTATTACAAACATATACAGAATATGTATATGTGTGTATATTATACAACTTGACTATTTTTATCTTTGAAATAAAAATTGAAAATTTTTATTGAAAATAAGCTTAATGGCAACTTTTAAATAACACACAATATTTTTCATAACTTTGCAGAAAAAAAGAAAACTATCTTAGTAAGCTCATCGTGTTTTTCTTAGAAAAATAGTCAATCAAAAACGAATCTCTGTGTGTTCAAAATTAAAAACAAAATTACAACATTGACCTTCAAACTTTTGCTTACAAGCATATATACATTCATACTCCTACATATAAGTATTTGCATTGTAAATATTAGTGTTATAACAATATAACAAAAATACTCATATAAAATAATATGATGACACTCCTAATAATACCAAACATAAATCAAGTTGATTTCAATAGAATTTAGGATAAAATATCCCTTACAGGGAAATACATTAATTTTATTTCTTTATTCTACTTAAATTTTATTACAGGACGCAATAAAAAATAGGAATATTTTTCAAGAATTACAATTACAACACAAATTACAACAACATAATTTAAATAATAAGGAGCAATCATTTAAACCACTGAAGAGGTTACGTACAAAAAATAAATCAAATTTATTAACAAATAACAATAATGAATTAAATAATAAAATTGTACAAAAAAACTACATGACACATATGTCAAAGAGGCAAATAACAACATCACAGTTAGAACTTTCTTCAGATATTCTTGTCGATTCATCGTCATCATCATTGTCGTCTTCTTCATCTTCCTCCCAGTTATTAGATTTATCATATCCTTCGCCATCATCTTCAATTTTATCAGTATCATCAATACCAACATCATTTTATTCATCATTAGCATCTTCGTCATCATCATCATTATCTTCGTCTTCTTCAGTTTCTGGAGAATATCCAAGACCAACAACAAATAATTTACAAAAAGATTTAAATGGACATTATATTATACCCACTGGCAGTAGTGGTGTTTCTAGTAATGAAGATAGTGGTTTAATATCATTTTCAACTTTAGATGCTGGTAGTATGGGTGATTCTAGTATTATTGTTGAATCTACTGGTATTTCAAATGTTATAATAAGTTCTTCAGTTGCCTCTTTAAATGAAAATAATGATGATAGTGATGATAATTTTGATAGAAAAACATCATCTATGAATAATGAATTATATAAAACTAATGTGAATAATCGAAATAAAAAATTAAATAGCCTAGAGATACAATATCATAAAAATGTTCATGATATACAAGACAATATTTCAGATGATGATAAATTAGATATAGAAAAAACTACTAATGATAGTCATATTACAAAAATGGCGATGCTTAAAAATGGAAATTCTTTAACAAAAGATGAAAAACAAAAAAAATCCAATAACAAATCTTCATCAGGATCATTAGAAGCATCATCTTCTTCTATATTATTGTCTTCATCAAAATCTTCATCTTCTCCAACATCACTTTCTTTATTATCGTCATCTGCAATGTCATCGTTGTCAAAATCATCATCATCATCGTCTTCTATATCGTTACCATCAGTATCATCATTACTATTATCACCATCATCATCTCTATCTACAAATTTTATGTCTTCCAATAATATGAATAGTCGTCATTATAATGACCATCATAATATTAAAAATAAATTTGAAGACACTATAGATTTAAATGATGATATCTCAAGCGATATAATAGATAATCAAAATAATATTATTGATGGTATTGAAGGTGGTAACAATATTCAAAATACCGGTAATATAAATTTAGATAAAAATAATAATGCTGGTAATGATATTGAAGAAAAAAATGTGCCAAATTTTGCATATCTTAAATATGATTGGCAATCATCATTAACTTCTTATAGTGGTAGTAGTAATAGAGGTGGTAGTTCATCAGGTATTAGTGGTCCGAAAATTGATTATAGTAGAAGTGGTAGTAGCAGTTATTCTAATATACCATCAATATCATCATCAGCATCAGCATCATTTTATTCAAGTAGTTATAATTATGGTTCTAATAATGGTATTAGTAATGGTGGAAATAGTGGAAATCATTTTGAAAATTATGATAATATTATTTATTCAACAATGGAATTGGAATGTTTTGCTGGTTATGATGGTGGCTTACCACAACATTTTATGTTAGAAGCATATGATGCTAAAACCAAAAAATTAAGATTAAATATGACTAGCACATATGCTGATTATCCAATTTTTCGGATTGATTTATCAGGTAAATATTTAAATCGCATGTAATACACATACACAATACTATGTATATACAATAAAACAAAATGAATTCTGGTGTACACAATAAAAGTATTATAATGTATATTACTCGTATTCCAAGGACATTTTTCAAATATTATAATTTTTATGTCATTCTTTATTTTAGGAAGGAGAAAAATTTTCAATTCTTAGTGGTTTAAATTTGTGTAAAGCTTGCAAAAAAAATGAGCCATTTTAAAATTAATTATGGAAAAAAAATTTTTTTGTAAAGTCATTCATCCATTTCAATTAAAGATTATAAATAATTGTTTGCGGTTTTATTATTTGCAAAATACAAAAATTTAATGGTCGTAGATTAATCTTTTTAAAGAATGTTTAAATACGTTCTTTACGGTTATTTCTTAGATTGCAAACCAAGCATAACATGTTATTTATTCTTAAATTGAAATAAGTGCAATGCCACGGAAAACCGGTAATCTAAAATTATGACAAAATGAGATAAATGTACTTAATTCGTAAAAAGAAGTTGTTTGATTAACTTTTACATTTAAGTATTTTAATAATAATTTAGGTTTTGCTTAATTTTTAGCTTTTGTCCAACAAAGTTGGGAAAGAAAAGCTTCTTATTTTCAATTTTTCCGGTCGTGTGTCTCAATTAAAAATTTCAACACCCTTCCTATCCAAAAAGTTTTATATGCCAACAGATCTTTAATAGAAATTTATTTTTATAGCAGAAAATGATAAAAATTTTTCCTTATACTTCATCCCTGTTCTTTAAACCCTACTTTTAATAAAAATAAAATATTCTTGAATTAAATTGCCTATTATATAAAATATTTGCTTTAATTTAATATTTGGTCCGTGTTAATTGTTACCATGTTTTGTTAAAGAAACAAAACTTTTTTATATTAAGGGTTATTTTTATAAATAAATAAAATAAAAAATTGAAAAATTACAAATATGTAAAGGATGATTATTACAACAATCAATTTCAAAACCCCGGCGACAAAATCACTTTAAAAATCTAGCACTGAAAATTTATTTTTCTTTTCATACAGATCTTCTTCCAATGGATTATTATCCTGATTCAAATCCAGCATTACATCTTGTCGCATACAGTGTAAATCAAAAAGGACGCTCAGAACCTATTGTTATCGAGAATATTCCCATCAATGAAGCTGATAAACGTGCTGGTAAGTAAATTTTTTTCCTTTATCTTTTATTTAAAATTTCCCTTTAATTTTTTTATTGATTAAATGGAATTATTTTTATATGTGATAGAAATAAATGGTTAAATAAAAAATCAATTGTTACAATAGTAAAAAAATGCTCTATGATATAGGAAGAGCAATAAAATAAAATTTACATTTTACTTCTTTAAGAATATTCTCTATAAACACAAAATCATTCTTTAATTATAAAATTACTCTTGAAAGTTATTCAACCTTTTAAATATTTTATAACAACATTGCAATTCTTAAATGAACAAGTGTAATATGTTAACTCTTTTTCCCTTTTAAAATTTAAGTATGTACATATTTATATATTATATAAAATAATAAAATTCAAGAAGTCATTGAAAATGAAACTAACAGCTAATTTAATTGCATTTCTCCACCAAAAACTGTTTATGAACTTATGCACTTTAATCTTAATTAGTGAATTTAATTTTTATGGGAAGAAACAGAACCGTAAATATATTATTTTGCTTTTCTTCTTTTTTTTATCTCTGAAAAAAAAATTTAATATTATTTCACTTTTATATCTAAATAGCTTAGTAGTATATACAATTTACAAACATATTTCTTTTATTTATTTGTCACAAGTTTTGCAATTTCTCATAAAGTGATAGATTGAATGCACCATTGAATTTATTTTTGTTTTTTGTTTTCCTCCTTTTATTCCTACTGTCAACAGTAATTTTTCCTTGTCAATTGCATTATCTTTTAAGTATTCTACAAACAAAATACTTGTACAGATAAAATGCTGCAAGTAACTTTTCAAATTACATGTGCTTATATTATAAAACATTTAAAGAGAGTTCTGTAAATCTTCAAAAAAAAAAAATCTTTTTTAAAGTAAAATATGAACCGTTTAAAAAGGATAACAAATGTAAAATGTCAAGATAAACGTAATACTTAGCATATCTACTACCATACCCGTTATATTTACCGTCACTTTTTTAATGCAAAAGCACTATTTTTTTCTCGTATATTTTCCGAACCCCCCCCCCCCCCCCCCCCAAGTTATTTTATACTTACTAAGTGGTATGATAAATTTTTAAATTCATTTGTAATAACATTACAGATCACATGTTAAATATCTGTAAAATTTTATGAAGTTTTTTGTTTTAAAATTTAAAGAAATGAGAAACTTTAAAATATAGCGTTAAACGAATTCTTTGTAGTGTCGGTTCCTTCATTTTAATAGTGTGAACTAATATGTCTAGTAAGTAAATGGATATTGGAGAACGCGCTATTGTCCTTTAGAAATTGCTACAGTAATTGACAGCGTAAATGAAATCACAGTGAGAATAAAAATTAAATTTAACCGCTTTTCCTTATGCGCAGCTTTAATAAATTGTTCCTCAAAATAAGTAAATAAGTAGACATACCAAATATTGAATCTATATTTGATAGAATTTTTTTTTTTTGGAAGTAATTAATTAAGAATGTTGAATCCGACATACATAGTTCTGCTTTCCATTCATTAAATTTAAATGACGACCTACAAACATACTATTCAGTTAATCCCATCCAAATTAAATAAATCAGAGTTGTTGTTTTTAAACATTTTTTAATTTTAAAGATGATATTATGTTATAAAACGGGTGACATTCATTTTTCTTAAAGAATTTCAAAATAAACAAAGAGTAAGGGATCAACACAATTTCTTTTTAAAACACAATTCTAAGGTCGTTTAGCTTATACGGCATGAAGGAAGCTTATGTTTGTATGAATTATGAATTTTTGATCGTTTATGAAACATCGTGGAAATTTTTAATTAAATTTAAAACTCATCGAATTAAAAATAAAACATTAAATCACAAGAAAACAATTCATATTTGGCTTACAAAGAAGTATGCTTTTCAATACTTTTCACATTAACTCATTTAAAAAGAATATACATAAGAGTATATGTATTTTTTTTTTGAAAATCTTTATTAAAAGTTAAATATAGCATATTCATTAACAGTTTTAATCCAAGGTTGTACCAATATATTTATTCTATTAGTTTATGTTTTCGTAAGTCACCTTGTTTTTATAAAGTTGCTATGTTTTTTAATTTTATAACATTTTTGTTTCATAATATTGGTAACACTATGTTGAGTCTTTTAGAATATACATAATTTCGAAATTTTAAAGTATTATTTTAAGAAATTGTGAAATAAAAATATCCTTTAGTAATGGCAATCATCTTAATGTTATTTTATGATATTATACACTTACTTTCTGAATTACATTTACACAATATTATTCACAACACATATACGTTTACATATTATGAGTGCATATTTTTATTATTTTCCATTAAGTTGAAACAAAATACGATGAAAGAGAGTAATAAAATTCAATGAATGAAATATAAAAATTATGGAAAATATAAAAAAGGGATAATAAAAATTGTAGAAAAAGGAAAGTAATAAGCATAGACACATACATCCATGCGTTCATAGAAGAAAATAATTTTCAATCCTTTAAACTATCAATTTGACTATTGCTTCCTTTGATGCTTCAACAAATAAAAGAATATCCAGAATAAGTAAAGTATTCTGAAGAAAAGTAAATAGGATTATATAAAAGAAATTCTAAAAGGTAAAAGAAAATGCGGAAATACAAATTGAAAATAATATCACTATTGAAGTTTGACATTAAAGTTTTATCTTAAAGAGAAAAATCGACGTCTACTTTCTTCAAGCCCTATTATTGTATATTTCTCGATTATTAAAAAAATTTAAAACTAATATTTCCCAAATGAAAAATAAGAATATTTTAATATAATATTTTATACTCGTATTTATATATTTTGTTTATGATCTTCACAAGTTTAGCCAATTTTAGTGTCGATTAAAAAGATATAATTTTTTTTATGTGTGTAATATTATACATATACTTGAATATTATGTAGCTATTTATATACATTATATAAATGTATCACATAAATATATAAATATGTGTATTGTATACAACATATTATTTGGAATCATTATGACATACTTGCGGCGACCCATTCAAGGGCGAAAAAAACATTATAGATATTTACGAATTACATACTTCCAAAAACTTGACATAAGTTTTCAAAAGGAAAACCCCCATAATTGCAATTGTTAACAATTATACTAATAAAGCCTAATTTTTTAGCCTCTTGGTTTTTAATTTAAAGGAAAACATTCACCTTTTAAAAATAATTCTATACCAGTGATAACCGCAACCATCCCTAAGTTTGAATCATCTTCTCGTACATTTTAGTCGAAAGATATTGAAATATTGCATTACAAAACATTGAGCATAAACAATCAAATTTTACTTTCCTACAAAGTAAATAATCTACGGAGGTTAATAACAGTTAGAGGTCTAAACAATGATCAGGTCGAAAACTTAATATTAATCAATTATGTTATTATTGCAGTTTATCTACACTTAAGCAATATAATGTTAAAGTAATTTAGTAACGTAATAAAATGTCAAAGTTAACGGTAAAAACTGGTTTTTAATTTTGCACCTAATTTGTGTACAATAACCTTCTAATAATTAACAATACTGAATCAAATGCTTTTATATTTTTGTGCTACGAATTATAATTTAAATGCTACAATCAGCTACAATTTACCTACATTTCCAAATTATGGCATCTTTACTTTAATGGAATATTAAAAAAAAATTATATGTATTTTAATTATAACATTTGTGTTTACATTTATTTAACACTTACAAAATTACATATAGTTAAAACTTCATTTACAAGTCAATGCCACAATAACTCGTGTATTGTACAATATTTTACAACATTTTAAATAAAGAATAATATTTCCTTTGCAATGTCAATCAAAAATTTCTAATTGAAATAACAATGAAAAGTTATTTTGAATTTAGTTCATTATTCTCGTGGTACAGCTATGTGCATATATATTTATACCTTGCGTAAATTATCCATAGCTTAAAGTAATCAAGCATTCTATAGAATGTAAAATATTACATTATAACGCTTATCATATCAGGCTTAAGATTAAACAGAATTTTGATTTTTCTGCTCTGTTCATTTCATGTTATTGAACTCTTCTTTTTCTTTTTCATATTTCTTTCTTTGTTAGCTTTGTATTTCTCTTATATTTTGTTACTTTCATTCACTTATTATTAGGAAGCTGGCACTAAAATCTTTTTATAAATTTACTTTATATCCTCACAATTGCTATAAAGTGACTGACTTTATATTATGAAGAGGAAGAGAGGGAATGAGATTTTGTTAACCTAAAAATATATAAAAAATCGTATAATTTTCATTACGATAATATAAACGTATGTGTAAAAATATTTTTAGTTTATATTATGTGCCCTTTACTCTTATATTATGACAGTCTTTTCTCCTTTATTATAAATTTTCTTTCTTTCTTTTTTTTTTGTATATCCTTTTATTTTTATTCTTTTATTATTTATCTTCCTTCCTGGGGTTTATTTTCCTGTAATTTTCGAGGAAGTGACTTCTTTTTGTTTTTTTTGTTTTTGTTCTTTTTTTTATATGACTATATTATTTCAGTTCTTTCGGTTTTTACTACTTTTAATACTGATTTGTTAAAATCGATTATTGTTATGTTGTAAAGATTGAAGAGATTATTTTACCCCGGCAGAAAAAAAAAATAAAAGGGAAAATAACCAAGAAAATGTTTATATTTTATTTCATTCTTTCAAGCACATATGTACATGATATTTTTGTATTAGAAACTTGGTTAAATATTTCATGATCAGTTTAGAATTTTTAAGAGAATCTCCGTTTATTTTTTCCATTTTGCCTTAAATAAATTTGTGCGTAACAATTATAGGGAAAATTAAAATTTAAATTGAACTGAATCAAGTTTAAAGGATCCAAGAATAGCTCGATGTTTATTGATTGCTGAATCGTTAGGCTAGTTTGGAACAAAATCGTTTATGTGAAAAGACCTCATTTAAGGACTCAAATAAAATAGATAAAAAATAGT